CTTTCTTTTTGTACTTAAACTGGGTAAGTAGGTCCTTTGACTTTTGTTTTCCTATTTTAATACTGATGGCCTTTGTCTTTATTTCCCACTGAACATATGGTTTTGCCGTGTCCTGGAGTTTTGAGAATGTAACATTCTTACTTTCACCGCTTTCCAATAATTTTTAATTTCCCTCTTGATGGCCTCGTTTTTTATAAGTGTGTTTCCTAATATCAAAGTAGTTAACATTATACCCGTCACACCTTTATTATTTACTGCCAGTTTTCTCAGATTATGATAAAAATATGGCCGCCTTCTCTGCTTTTCTCTATTGGTTCAGGTCTTCTTTGTGGTCAAATAGATAATTTCTGTAGCCGTTCCAGGGACATACGAATGAGATGTATTATTTCTGTTCATAGATGTAAAAATCTCCACCTATTGAATCAAAGGTACTGACTTTTCCTGGGTATATTATCCAGCTGTCCTTGCAATTCTGATACTTCTGCTCTGTGTGTTTAACCACATTTTGCTTTGTTCATACAAGTTTATGACTGTTTGATCCCCTTTATAATTTTTGCTTTTCTTCTTCCTCTGTTGTGATCTTAAAGGCCACCTTATCTGATGTTAATTTGGGTGGTCCTGCCTTATTTTTGTTTGCACCGGTCTGAGCACCTAAGTCCCTCCAGCCCTTCTTTAGCCTGCGGCTTTACATGCATTTCTCATAAATGACAGAGGGAGGGTTTGTCTTAGACGCCCTCTGACAGTCTCTCTGTTTTACTAGAAGGACTGGGACCTTCCATCGCATTCTTCCCATTACCTTTGTGTCCACTCTTCACGTCGCTCTCTCCTCTCTGATGCTCACGGTTCCTCCCTTTCCCTGCTCATCTGAAAGCTCTGCCGCCAGGGAAGCCCCTGAAATGGCTTTTTAATGTGTTTTCAATTCCTGCTTCCAGCTGTGCCTCCTCAAATCTTCTTGTCCCTTCAAAACACTGCGAGCGGATCCATCACTTCCTGGTCAATTTCCTGTGCCCAAAGCTCCATCCAGACTAAGTTAGCACTTCGATCCCAGTGCACAGCCTCCGCCAGCTCAGCTCCAGTCTGTGGCCCCAGGAAGGGGACAGGTCTCATCCCGCCTCGTCCCCCGAGGCTCCGTCCCCCAAGGCTCCGTGGCCCTGGTGCGGGGGCTGACAGGAGAAGGGACCAGGGCAGCGTCCTTCTGCTTACCTGGTGCTCCCCACGGCCTCTGGGGACTCCCAGGGGTCCCGCAGCTCCTGCCCACCACACAGGTCCCGGGAAAGGAGAGATTTCCCCGCACCCTCAGTTCCAGCCCCACCCTCCAGGGCACCTTCCTCGGGTCCCTTCACCGGGCTGGCAGCTCCCCTGGTATCAGCGAGATGGTCCACGGGCGCGCCTCCTTGGAGTGCTGTCAGCTGGAGGAAAATCACACATCCTCTTGTGCAAATGGGGCCCCCTCTGCCTGGCTGTCTCTCTCTGGCTCTCTTTTCCAGCTCCATCATCTCGGATGACACAGAGGGTAGCTCAGCAAGCCCCCTGGGTGAGGAGATGTCCCTTCTGCAGGCACCCCGATCTCTCTCGGTGACTCTCGGAGCCCCCCTCGGTTGGCTTGGAGAGGTGGGGACTCCACCTTTGGGGGACTGTTGTGGGGGAAAGGAAAGGGCCACAGGCCCCCTTCAGGTGCACGACTTCCGTGACTCTTAAAATTGCTGCACTTTCTAGTTCCCCGTCTCCATGGCAGAGAGATGCTGGAAGCAGTTCTCTCCCTGACCTGGAGCGAGGTCTCCACGGGGCCAAGGGCCAGAGTGCCCCAAGGAAGGACAGACAGAGCCCAAGGGGAGGGGGCGTTTCAGGCCCTGGGGCGTGGCTGGAGAGCTGGCCATTCCCACACTGGCACACATGCCGGTCTCCCCTGAGTCCATACTGGTGATGCTGGGGAGGGGCCGGCAGCCACTCTTGGGACCACGGAGCCGCTACAGGGAACACGGCCCGGTCAAAACCATCTGCACAGCTAACTACAGCAGACCATCACCCAGCCTTGAAAAAGGGAGGAAATCCTGGGGACTGCCCTGGTGGTCTATCGGATAAGACTCAGCGCTCCCAATGCAGGGGGCCCGAGGTTCGATCCCTGGTCAGGGAACTAGATCCTGCATGCATGCCGCAACTAAGAGTCCTCATGTCACAACTAAGGAGCCCGTGAGCTGCAACTAAGGAGCCTGAGAGCTGCAACTAAGGAGCCCGCCTTCTGTAAGCCGGTGCAACTAAATAAATAAATTTTAAAAAAATGTTTTAAAAAAAAGGGGGTGTACTTCCCTGGTGGCGAAGTGGTTAAGAATCCGCCTGCCAATGCAGGGGACACGAGTTCAAGCCCTGGTCCGGGAAGATCCCACATGCTGCGGAGCCACTAAGCCCATGTGCCACAACTACTGAAGCCCACGCGCCTAGAGCCCGTGCTCCGCAACGAGCAGCCTCCGCTCGCCGCAACTAGAGAAAGCCCGCGTGCAGCAACAAAGACCCAACGCGGCCAAAAATAAATAAATAAATAAATATTTTAAAAAATAAGGGGGAGGGGAGGAAATTCTTACACCTGCTCCAACAGGATGAATGCGGAGGGCATTGTGCTGAGTGAAACAGCCAGTCACAGAAGGACGAGCACTGTATGGCTCCACTTGTTTGAGGTCCCTGGAGTCATCAAATCCACAGAGACAGAAGGTGGGAGGGGGGGGGGGGGCCAGGGGCGGGGGGAGGGGTGTAGAGTGAGGGTTTAATGAGGACAGTTTCAGTTTGGGAAGATGAGAAGGTTCTGGAGATGATGGTGGCGATGGATTCACAATATGAATGTACTTAATGACACTGAATTGTGCACTTAAAAATGATGAAGATGGTGAATTTTACGTTGTGTGTGTCCCTAAGTTCTCCGCTCAGTTCCACTGCTAGACTCGGCTCTGAGCTGTGGACACCATCTGGGAACTAGAGCTACTCTTCCCATCAAACCAGGAGCCTTCTCTGTCACGGGGTCATGGAGAGAACCCATTTCTCCAGACTTCTCCCTGCCCGTGCCTGACAAGCGTGGACTCCAATTTCGCTGAGAGCTGTTTTCCTACATTACTGTGGCTAATGATGACACTCAACTCATGTATGTCTCAACCAGACTCCCTGTTATTTCCTGGGAACCATCAGTTGACCTTTAACATGGACCTTAACTCTGACTGGAATTTAAAGTCTCTGTATCAGCACAGTGTAATTTCCGTTGCCCTTACCCTCCGCCCCCCCCTTTTTTTTTTTCTATTTTAATCAGAAAATATAGTTAAATACTGAAAGAAAAAAAAAATCCCATCCACATGGACCCAGTAACGTAGCAGATGCATGGACACCCTCTACTGAGCCCCCTGCCCCGGGTACTGGGGCGGGAGCCGCGGTGGAAAAAGGGCAGAGGCGACCCTCGCCCTCACAGAGACCCCACCCCGCAGGGACAGAGCCGGCAGAGACTCTCGGGGGAGCTGGGTGGAGGCCCTGTGCAGTGGGTCAGGGGAAGTGGCCCCAGCACTTGTCCAGGTGTGAACCAGCTCCGGCTTTAAGTGAGCAAGGCTAGACTTGCTGAGACATGGGTGGAGGATGACAAAGCCGAATCAGGACAGCAGTTACCTTTGGGGCAGGGAGAGGAACAGATGCGGGGGGGGGGGGGGTGGGGTGCGGAGAATGCACCAAAGGCTTTCTAGGTATGTAATTTCTAAAGCTGGGTGGAGGGAACACAGGTGTTAAGTATTTTCGTATATTTTTGTATGCCTATTTCATTGTTTAAAGTTAAGACTACTTTTTAGAGCAGTTTTAGGCACAGCAAAACTGGGGGGAGAGACACAGGGAGCTCCTGTGCACGCCCTGCCCCCCTGCATGCACAGCTTCCCCACCATCAACACCCCACCAGAGGGTACATCTGTTACCACTAATGAAGCTGCACGGACAGGTCACCCCCACCCAGGTCCCAGAGTTTACATGGGGCTCACCCCTGGTCTTCTATATTCTGTGGGTTTGGACAGATGTATCATGAGCTGTATCTATCATGATCATATTGCAGAGTATTTTCTCTGCCCAAAAGAAGAAAAATGTAGCTTTCGAGGTGTCTGTGCAACGTCCAAGCTAAGCGTCCAGTGGTCATGGGAGTGTTGCTGGGTCAGAGCCCCATCGTAGACACGGGCTCCCCTGCGGGGTGAAACTGAGAGCCAAAGAAGGGAAAACAGGATTGAATCCTGGAAGCCACGGGCTTGAACAGAGCGGGAGAGAGGCAATGGATTCGGGCGCAGCTTCAGCAATTTATCTATGAAACCAAAGAAGTGAGGGAACCGTTGGGTACGAGCAGCCTCACTGGGGCATCACTGGTGAACAGCACAGGATTGGAGCAGCCCGCAGGCCCGACAGGTCAGGACCGGTTAAACAGATGAAGGCGCAGCTATTCAAGAAATAGCTTCAAATCTGTAAAAAGGGCCGATGTTCATAGTATGTTCATACATAAGGAACACAAGTTTTAAAATAGTATATTTTGTATAATTCTATTCTTTTTTTTAAAGTATTACCCTGGGTAGGTGTAGGAAGCACTTTTTTTTTTTTAAATTTATTTATTTGGTTGTGCCGGGTCTTAGTTGTGGCATGTGGGCTCCTTAGTTGCAGCTCACCGGCTCCTTAGTTGTGGCATGTGGGTTCCTTCATTGTGGCATGCGAACTCTCTTAGTCACGGCACACAAACTCTTAGTTGCAGCATGCACGTGGGATCTTAGTTCTCTGACCAGGGATCAAACGCAGGCCCCCAACAGTGGAAGCACAGAGTCTTAACCACTGGACTGCCAGGAAAGTCCCTACAATTCGATTTTTACAGAAGATTTTGTTTGCACAGGGAAATCATGTGGGCAGATGAATTAAAATGTTAATATAATCTCTGGGATGATGTGAGGTTTGTTCCTTTCATTTATCTGCCTTTGTAAAGGTTTCTGCAATGAACACAAAGTACTTACGAATATAAAAAGGAGAAGGGCCTTCCACAGGGAGCAGGTCCTGTCATTTCCTGGGACGCTGAGAGAGGAGTGGGTCCCACGGCAGGGAAGCTGTGCATCTGGGCTCCACCGGGCCAGGCCTGGGAGACAGACCGGCACGTTGTCAGCCCTTCTCAGGGCGGGGCAGGCGAGGCGTAGGGAAGCCTCCCTGCCTGCGGGTCTGAGGGAGGGTTCCTCCCACACAGCGGGGTCCAGAGTTCCCCCCTTCCCTCGAGGGGTGGATTTGGGGGAGGCCCCGACCCCTCCACCCCCAGGATGTAGGAGACTCCACCCCTCAGGCAGACGGCTGTGCCCTCCCCCTGCCCTTAGCCTCTGACGGTGTCTCCAGTTTTCTGCCAAGGTCCCCTTACACCAGCCTGGCCAAGACCCCAGCCCACATCTCTCCTCTCGACACCCCCCTCACATCCTCTACAAACACCGCAAAGCGTTTGAGAGCCGCTGGCTAGGTGCGACCTCTTGGCCACCTGGGTTCTCAGGTCTCAGACACCATCCATGATGGCCCCCGGTCAGAAGATACACATAAAAGTTCCCCTAGGCTCCTTGGTGCCAGCAGCCCTCGGCCCTCCATCTGCGGTGTAGGGGTGGGGAGGGGCCTGAAGCACAGTCTTGGCCTCGGGCCCCGAAAAGGCAGGGCCGAGATAAAGGCTCCTGGGCAGGACCTCACTGGGGAGCGCGAGCTCAGGGGCGTGAGATGGGGAAGGGGAGGCCACAGGAGGACGAGTGCTGTGCTGGTGACTACGCCACCCCGGATGCGGGCTGCTGCGGACCGCGTGGGGGCCAGCCTGGAGGCCGGGCTGCTGCAGGGCAGGTACCAGGGCCGCTGCTTGTGGCTCGTGGCACAAGCACTGGGGTCTCTGGACAGAGGCTGGTCGACCACTGACAAGTCTTCCACGACCTGGTTTGTTCGGCGCTCCCCCTGGTGGCCACTGGCATGAAACGCAACGCTGTGCGCCCACTCCGAGGTCATCCGCTCGGGCCACCCCTAGACCTCCGCACGTCTGATTTCCCGGTCTCCCTTCTAGGCCCCGGCCACCCCCCACAGCCTTCACCACCACCCACATGTCTGCATAGACCCTTACCCTGGACCTCTCCTCTCCACGCAAAGGCAATGGCTGTGCACAAGCTCTGTCTGCCTTGCAAACGGGGTCTTGCGTGTGACCCAGGAGGAGCGAGGTGGTCGTGTGTGTGTGTGTGTGTGTGTGTGTGTGTGTGTGTGTGTGTGTGTGTGTGTGTGTGTGTGTGTGTGTGTGTTTGGGTGTGTACGTGTGTGTGTTCTCCTCTCTGACACCAGGCAGGGTTGCTGCAGGATCAACCCCCCGGAGCAGCACGGACACAGGGTCACAGCAGTGCAGCGACACCCGTCCTGCACGTCCTGTGCCCTGATTTCTGATTTTGTTCCCAGGCCGCCGCAAAACTCTTTTTACAAATAGTCATTTTTCACTAATTCCGTTCTGCTTAAATCAGCCAGAGTCCTTTCCATTCGTGGCAGGCTGCAAAAATGGCCACAGGGATTCCTCCCCATGCCCCCCCTCCCGGGTGAGCAAAGGGTTTCGTGGTAGGTCGCTGCCGTGCTTCCCCACCTTGAACCTGGACTCGGTCCACGGGACACTGGGAGATCTGACTCCACAGGGCTGAGGGGTGAGCGCCTGGGGCTTGTCCTCTGAACAGGGCTGGGCCGGCAGTCGACGGCAGTACGTCAAGCAAACCTACAAGCACAGGTGAGCCACCTCAGGCCACTGAGCACCAGCCACGCTGAGCCAGAGCAGAGCCACCCAACTGGACCATAGAATTATGAGAAATAATATGTGTTCACTGTGTTAAGCCATTGTCTTTGGAGTGGTTTTGTTACACAGCAAACGTGAGCTCATACACGATGTCTAGCAACGGAGAACCCCACCCGATCCACCCACATCCTATTCCTCTCCAAGTCCTGTGGGTTTTCGCTGCTCCCTACCTCTTCGAAGCAGGCACTTCCTCCTCTATGTTTCAGTGGATGTCCCTGCAGCCATTTATGCCGCCTTCCATCTTTTCTCCAACCCACCAGTTCAATCAGGCCACCCCCTCTGCTTCGAACCTTCTTACGGCTGCTAGAGGGCCTCCCCCAGCCTTCCTCGCCGCTTTGTCCCCACATGCCGACCTTTGGTCAGGCAGGGCTGTTGCCGAGCGCCTGTGTCCATCATGGGATGGACGCACTCACACGTGCACAGACACGCGCAGAAGAGTCTCTGAGCGCAAGCAGAGTCGTTGCTATACCTGCATCTTGCGGCGGTGCGGCAGGGCGTGCGCTCGGGGGAGCCTGCCTGAGATGAATCCTGACACAGGCACCGACCACTGTGAGATTCAGCAAGTTACTTCCGTCTCTCACAGGTGGCTGCGAGGTTCACACAAGTTCACACACGTGAGATTCTTGGAAGTGCAATGGCACAGGACTGCACACAGCGCCTGCCTGGAATGTGGACGTCACCACTATCATCACCACCACCACCACCACTGTCACCACCACCACCATCACCACCACCACCATGACCATGACCATGACCATCATCACCACCACCACCATCATCAATGTCACTGTCATTTTCCACAAACATTTGTTGAACACCTGCTCTTTGCCAGGCACTGTCCTAGGAGCTACGGACACTATGAACAAGACAAATTCCTGGCTTGAGAGAGCTGACGTTTTAGTGAGGTGAGTAGAGTAACAAGTAAAAATAGAAACAGGGTAATTTCAGAAACTGGTTACTGGGCTGCAAAAAGCAAACGGTGCTGGGACAGAGAATGACTGCCGTGTCTTCGGTGCCTTTGCTGTTGCAGGCTCCCCATGCTACGGGGCCTTTGCACATGCTAGTCCCCCGCTCTTAGAACGTCCTCCCCTCCTTCATTAACCTGGTCAGCGGCCACTCATTTTTTCCTGACTTTGGTCCCGTCACCCCCGCCACAAGCCCCCCCACGAGCAATAACATCGTCCACCTCTCTATTGCGGCATTCATCATACCTGTGTGTCTATCAGTCGTCTGAAGTGTACACCCCGTGAGGGCAGCCAAGCCTCTCTCTCGCTGCTGTATCTCCAGCACAGCAGGTGCTTGAGATTTTGAATAACAAACAAAGCTGGAGAAAAGACCAAATTTGAAGTCAAACATTACAGTTCCTTGAAATTTATCCGTCAGATTCTGGCCTAGGAAACATCTCACAGAGGAGGATATGCCTTCCCTAGACCCTGCCTCACACCAAACCCCTCTTCCCTGTGTGCGTTCCAGGTACTCACCCTGAATCCAATCATAGAGAAACTTGGGGTTTTTCCTTCTCTACCCTGGTTGGCTGGAGGCCTGGCTCTTCTCGCCCACGAAAGACCCTCCAGGGCCGCCCTCAACGCAAGAGCGTGAAGGCCCCTGGGGGAAGAAGTCAGAGGGAGACCAAGGGCAGCCTTTCCCCCAGGGTCCCTCTGTCTCTCCTCTGGGGCCCGATGCCCCACCCACTCTCAAGGGAAAGGCTGGTCTCACCAGCCCCAGGAGGGGCCTGGGGGGCTCCTTGGGGCAGTTTTCCTGGAGGAAGTGGGTATAGGACTCACCTCCCTGCTTCCATCAGAAGGGAGCTGGGCTTCTGGGGGTCGGGGTCAAGTGGGCACCCGGGGACCCTGTGAGCTCCTGTGCTTAGGTTTTCCTCAGGCCCTCAAGTGCCCGTCACTGTGCAAAGGGCATTTTCCCCACAAGAATTGTGTGAGAAGGTACTACTCTGATCTTCAAAGGATGGAAAATGGAGGCCCAGGAGGGCAAGGGGACCTGCCCAAGGCCACACAGCAAGAGTGAGAAGTACCTCGTTTGTCAAAGAAGCAGAAAAAACATGTGCTCCCCAAAATGTTCCAAAACTAAGAATTGTACAGACTTTGCATTCCGTGCGTTTACTAGCCATTTGATGAAACGTCTAAGAGCAGAACCGTCGCTGGGGAGGTGCTGCTGACCCGGGGACAGTGTCCACATCCGTGCTAGCTGACCCCAGCAGGGCGAGCAGCACGTATCCCTGGTGACCTGTGTCCACCGCCGCGTGCGCCTCGATGCCTGGCTCTTCTGCGGTGCCTCTGTGCGCCGGGGCCACACGCGACGGCCTGCAGGCCAGGTCCGGTCCACAGCCTAGAGATTAAGAATGGTTCTTACATTTTAAGTGGATTGGAAAAAAAAAGGCTATTTTGTGACACGTGAAAGTTACAAGAAACTCAAACTGAAATTTGAGTTTGAGCCGGTGCATCGTACCGGCCCCGGCTACTTTCTGCGGCACGACAGCAGAGCCGAGCAGCTGCCAAAGGTGCTGCCGTAGGGTCCTGAACGGAGAAAGTGGGCACCGCGTGGTGCCCTGGGCGTCCTGTCCGATTTCCTCTGACACGACGCTACCGACGAACAGATGATGTGTTCGTGACCGTGTGGAAGGAAGCTGGGATCCTCAAGAGTAAACAAGCCGCTTATGTAACAGGCATCTGTTTCCCGAGAATCCCCCCCAGGTTTCATATCCTTTCTGAACTGACACGCTTTTGTCCCATGCTGGCTCCTCTGACGGCGACTGAATAAATGTTGATGTGTGCTCCGCACCAACTTGTCTAAGAGTTGTTGTTTTAGCACTTTCTCAGTGGAAAGGAGCATTCGCGTCTCCAAAATCCCGACGTGCCGAGGAACCAGCCTGTGACTGCTGAAGGGCCCCCAGCCTCAGCCTCGCTCACCACCCTGCACCCACCTCCTGGGGCTTAGATCCGCCCCCCTATTGTGAGCCCAGAGATTGGGACCCTCGGCCCGTCTGTGCCAGGGGGCTTTTTACTCTGCTGCTCCAAGAAGCCTTCAGACTGAAGGGGGGGGGGCAGGGGGAGGGCTCTGGGGGGGGGGGGGGGGAATTTCCTTATTTTCTCCCAGCATTTCCCCCACCTTAACTCCCCTCATCTGTTGTGTTTACTGCCAATACCTTTCCTAGCTGATGACCTGAGTTTTAGAGTTCTTCTTGTACCGAAATCACCTTGTTAAAGAATTACAAAATTAACAAGCTCAGAGTGAAACAACATCAGCATCGCCACCCCCCCCGACAGACACTCCCGACAGGGAAGGAGAACCTGTCATCCCGCTGGACCAGCATCCTCATCACCTCACAGACCCTCCCCTCCGTGGAAGGCACCCTGCCCTCGCGAGGATCCCCAGATCAGCTGCCCGCCCTGTGGTTCATTCTCAGCGCACAGCCCGCTCACCCACCATCTTCACAGAAACCCTCCAGCTGGAACAGAGGCAGGCCTGTCGGGCCCCCATCAGAGCCTCTGGCCGCAGCTCGGTGTGCCAGGCAGAAGTCCTGTTGTCGCCCAGACAACACTCTGGGCAAAGGCACCTGTGACCTGCCCCTGCCCGGCCCACCATCTCCCTCCCCGACCTCACCCTGCAGCAGGGGTGGGGCCCAAGGGCAGAAGGTGGGAGAAGGGGCAGCTGGGTGGGCCTCAGTGCTTCAAGGCGAAGACAGGGCTCCACGTGCCATCTCCTGTTGAGGGACCGAGGGGAGGGCGCTTGGCTTACGTCCCCGGGAGAGGGCCCCTACGTGCCACCATCAGCAAAAGAGCCGGTCTTAGGACGCCAGGGCCTGCAAGGGTCCCCTTGGCAAACCTGGGGTTGAGGTCCCTCCCACCCAGGACGGGCCGAATCCCTGCTGGTCTACCTCAGCGGCTCTCGTACAAATAAACAAACAAGCAGGGAACCTGCAAAGTGCCCATTTGTCCGTGTGTCCCTGAAGCCCTTCCCCTGGGGATTCTGAGGGTGGTTTCAAAGCTTCTGCTCTTGGGCTCCTGCCCCAGCCCCCAAGGGGATGGCAGGTCTGCTAACCTCACCTGCTTCTCAAAACTTGCTGACTGCCGCTTGGCCGGGGGAGTCCAGCCAGAGACACCTGCGCACCGAGAAGCATGTAAGTGCATCAGCAGAAAGGAGAGGCTGGAAGGCCGAGGGGTGAGCAGGGCCGGGGCTCCAGGCGCGTGTGTGGGATGAGCAGCTCGTGGGCCCAGGCCCCGCCCAGCAGCCTGGCTGGCCAAACCCCAGCCCTGGCTTTTTCCTCTTTGGAAATTATTTGCCAGGTCTGCCTTTTCCGTCTGTGAAATGAGGCCATTGAGGGTTCGTACGAAGATCTAATGAAGTAATAAATATTAGATTGCCACAAACCTTGAACTACAAGGGTCAGGTCAATCCACAGGGAATGGACGTCTGCAAGCAGGTGCCCAGGGCTCGGCCACGGCGGCGGGGCTGGTCCTTTCAGAAGGTGTCCAGACAGAACCTGAAACTGGGCCTCGCCCCAAACCAAGCCTAACAGAGAGGAGCTGCAGGCTGCCCACCGCCCACGGCTGGGGCTGTTCAAACAACCTCACGCCCAGTAACTCGTTCTGTTCTCACCACCACTGACCAGCTCCGAGCCGGACGCGGACAGGTGTGGAGAGGTTAGGGATGGAGAGTGCCCAAGGACGCACCGCTCTGCACAGGAGTCCAAGATCAAGACAGCTGCACCCAAGGAAACGGAGAACAGCCTGCAGCGAGCAAACCCTCAGAGACAGGACAGCCTGGGAGCAGGAGGGCGAGGGGAAGCCCCAGGGCTTGGCCACCGCTGCCGCAGCCTCCGCTCAGATCCACGCCAGGAGGCTGTTCAGAAAGGACGGCACGTTCACAACCGGCCGAGCGAGGCCCTCTGTGCAAGGGGAGCCGGAGGCTCCGCCGGGCGCCCTGCTCTGCATGGGCCCGTGCTGCCGGCAGCTCCCAGCCTCGCGTCCCTCCTCCACAGCAGTCTGGGCACTGACCCCTGGGCACTGACCCCTGTGACCCTTCACCTGTTTGGCTCTGCCTTGTCCACAAAAGCCGAGACTTCAGGGACCGACTGCCGTTTCCCGCCGTGCGGTGCTTTCCCAGGCGGGTCGCTTCTGATATGACTCCCTCTGATTCCGGTGAGGACGATGCCACCTTGACCCCTCTCCCAAAGACAGCATTCTGGCCAGGGCTGTGACAGACAAGGCGGAGACTCGGGCAGGGCCCAGGGCTTCCATGGCTGAAGACCCAGGGTCCAGGACCCAGTGTCAGTTGTCTCCCGGCGTGCAGAGGTGGATACGGATGCTCCTAGGCTGCGCCCGTCAACGGAGGGAAGACACCAAGCTCTCCGGGAGGCAGCCAGTCTCCCTGGAACGACAGAACCGTGCTCTGCTCCCGCAGGAGTGAAGACTGCCCACAGAAGCTACAGGAGGCGCACGGTGCAAGCGGCAAGTCTTCCTCCGTCACCTCAAGCGCTTTTTAGAGCCAAGTCAGTGACTTCACACCCACGGTGCCCAGCTCGACTCCCCTGCTATTTACCTGTGGGGACTGAGGTGACTGGGCCCAAACAGTAACCCCCTCTCCGGCCTCCTCTCCTGGACCCCAGGAGGGGTAGAAGGACGCCCCCCCTTGAGGAGATGGGCATGTGGGAAGCATCCCACGGGCCCGGCGCAGGCGCCATTAAGGCGAATCCTCACAGCAGGAACGGCCACTCGGCACGCTCACAGATTAGCCCCGTGTGCATCTGTGCGCCCGCAACCTTCCAGGCTCGCCTGAGCCCCGGTGTCAACCCGTGAATGTGTGAGCTGGTTTCTCTCTTTTTTATGAAATAGATGATACAAAATCAAAAGATACACGTGGAAACATAAAGCATTTGTTTATTATTGCTATAATCAAGGCAAAATCTCTTAAAACAATTGGCCTTGATAATGGAAATATAATCAGAACCATTAATCACGAGTTTACAGTTTGTTCTTCTCTGCTGTTCAGACTTCACGGTCTCACACATACCTCCTATCACCTGACCTTTGTCGTACAAGAAGCAGAAGAATGCACTTGGAGGTCACAAAGCACAGCCCAGCCACTTCCCTAGGTACTGACTGCAGACCAAGCGCTTCCTCGCTGTGAACCTGTTTCATCCTGTGTTTAAAAAACAAGCGGGAGAGGGGAGGAGGGGCCGGAGCGTACCCACCCCCTCGGAGGATCAGTGAGATGACAGGGGCGGTAACTGAGAGAACATACAAGAAAGTGCCCTTTACACTCGAAAAAATCATACAAAATGGAGTATCACCAGTGACAGTGCTTACGGCCCCTGCAGGGAGGGCAGGAAGCTGCCACACAGCCCATGCTCCTGGCAGCCTGCAGGACCATCACCGAGCATCTGAAACCCTGGGGGCAGGGCGACGGGTGTTGACCACCAAGGCTCCAAACTCACTGAGGAAGGACCTGGCCTGACAAGCCACATCACAGGGACCCAGCCTCACCCTAGAAACACCTGGTCAGTTTTATTTACCTTAATATACATCTGTACAGGCAATAATAAAAAGGCTATGACACAACAATTCAGTGAGTTTTACCTAGCTTCATGAATAATGCATGCAGTTACAAATAAGAGGTAGAAACACCGTATTAAAGACCTAAAAATATAAACATCATATAAATAAATGTTCAAATTAACTGCTGGAATTTCATACAGATAAATAAAGTAAAAATTACATTACTGCGTCAAAGTAAAGAAAAACCATGTTTTTGTTTTTATCAGTACACTAAATTAATGCCAAAGAGCTTCTGTGCAATTTGTCAGAGTTCAGGTTATATTATCTAAAAGGATTGAAACTGGAGAATGGTTTATTCAAGTATTCAAGCAGGTAAGTAAGAGAAACGAAATAATCTACCACGTAGGCACCATCTCTAGAGGGGTGTTAAGTGCCCACATTCTCCATGACTAGCTACCTGGTGAACTGTCAGGACTAACAGGAAAATGCACACAGGCTGGAAAGAGCTGCCCATTTTCCTAAGAGAAAACATACCTCACTTTTCACTAACTCCATGTAAAATTCCACATCACTAATAAGCCTTTAAGTCACCAACTTAGTTTTGGCCCTATTACAATTCTTGAGAGTATCTCTGGATTGACATTTGCTCTAATACTGCCCCAATAAACCTAGCCTTTAGTAAGCCTAGAGGTCATAGGCGTGAATGCACATTCTGCATGCACAGTAAAAAATGCAAACAAAAGCAGACAACGAGCAACTTAAACATATCACCGAGAAAACCTGTAGGTGTAGGTGAATAGGCTAAGAAAATGCAAAGGTTCACACAACACAAGTTTTTTACCCCTTAAAAGTCCACGAGAAATCACCTGTGAATTCTGGAAAGGGTACGTGTATATAATCAAGTAAAATATTTTAAACAAGTCCATTGTGCCTCAGTTAGTTTTAAATTGCAAAATCCAATACACAGTTGTTTTAATAAATTAGTGCAATATGAAAGATTCTGGAAGATTATTAATATGTGTCCATATTAGATCAAATTGAAGATTTCACAATCTCTTCCAAGAGACGCCTTTCCCTCCTTAAGCTATTTCTTCCTGAGCTGTTTATGGACGCGTGCTCAGACTCAGATAAACTTACCCCGGGTATCAAACCGCCTGGGTGAGACGTGGCTTTTTACTTTTTCGCCTCAGTGAACATGTGGAGCCCCACACTTTGCTCTGCTGACTGGCGTGAAGAGCCACTCAGCGTTTCATTCCTAACTGCCCTTAAGAATAACTGTACTGACAACTCTAGCTCTAAGGTACATTTATTTACCAGGTTCAAGCTGAAAAGCAAGTGGAATACTCTCGCTTCTGCTTCTACAAAGAAAAAGGGAAGGGGTGACTTCTCTGATAAGGCAGGTAGTTCTGGGGTTGTCTTTCCTTTTTGAAATCACTGCTTGCTCTTTGGTGGTCACCGTGTAGGAACCTACAGCTTCCTGGGGGTGGGGCGACAGGATCCAAGCTGTGCTCCCAAAGGCATCGCCTCACACCCACCACTAGTCCTGGGGGCAGG